TATGTCAATCAATAATCGTTGAATAATGGCGGCATGTATCTTGATGTAAATAAACTGATTTTTTGATGGGAAAGCTTTGCCTCAGACTGCACTTGAACTAGTGATGACATCCAAACCATTGACATTTAGTAGATCAATAGTCCATTTTCATGAAACGGTCACGTGGTACTAAATCCACTATACTGGATGGCAAAATACCCACTGGGATGTTCAAAACAAAAACGTTTTCCTTGATTCTGTTCTGGTTTATTGATACTGACAATTTGTCTCTAAATAGCCGCTATTTGATAGTATTTAGTTTGAATTTCATGGTTTTCCTCAGTCAAGATTGATGGGGTACGTTCCTTTTGTTTGTTTTTGGGGCTGTGTATTAGTTGTAAAAGGCCTATTCAGCTTCTCATAGCATGGCTAGCCATAATTAAAATACAATTTTAACCACGCAGTCAATATCATCCACTGGTAAGATTGTGATGGGCCTCGTTACGTGTGCAAGTGAGCAATTTTCTTACCAAGAAGCCACTTGGAAAAACACGCATTGTTTTTTATCTTTATAGGAGCTTAATAAACATATCGAGAATGGACTTGGTAGAAATCTAATGTCTCGCTGCTCCAACTCGCAAACACAGATCATTCACGAATCACAGAACGAGATGACAGGTTTGTTTTCAAATCTCAGACTTTGAAATGACATTTGCGTTTATTAAGAGATGGGTGATTAACTGATTTTTTGGTGTGTATTTTGTATTCAGAGGAAATGAAGAAGCTTCTCCCCCAGTCAGCCCAAGAAAATGTAATGGTGGCCTCTCCTAGGTAGTTACCAGGCGTTTTTTTTAACTCGAAGAATTGTGAAACAATCGAAGAGTTATTGGAATCTGTCACTCAGTCAGTCACTTACTTTCCTGTAAACTTGAGCCTGCGCTACTTGTGTTAAGAATTATAAGAATTTATTTTAATTGTTTTCTAGTTATTTCACTGTGCTATATTTGATTCGTCTTCATTCCCAGTCCCTTCTCTTGTATTCATTAATATTTTATTCTTTAATTCCCACTTTTTGACGTTTCTTATCGAACTCGACATTCGATTTCCCACTCATCTCTTTTTCTTTTTCGTTTTGTTTTCAGAAACGACTTTGAAGTTTCGTATCGCCTTGAAATCCATGACTTGTGCAGTGATTTTGAGGAAGATATTGAATTTCACTTCAGTCTTGGCTGGGAGGCCCTGATGAAAAAATTCCTTGCTCCAAGAAATGCTAAACTTGCTGTGGCCATGGGCAAAAGCGTAAGTGATGTAGCGATGATGTCTGTAATRATGATGATGATAATTATAACTTAATAATCAACAGATTGAACGCGATGTTAAAAATATGATGCCAAACCAAGACCCAGCTCAYCCCGGCCAAGTYAGCACTCGGCGAAATAGTGACGTAGTACCGAGGTATAATGATGACGAGCTAACCCTCGCAGTGGTGCAGGGTGTCGCATCTCTGACGTCACGGACCACTACTTTGGTGGTAGTAGTTGGAGGACTGGTAAGTAATAAAATACTTTGGACCTCTGGGCTTCCTTTACCATGACATACACAGGCAGCCCAACCCAGCTGAATTAGGATAATAATAAACCCTTTTAGCGATCTCTTTTGCGCTGTGTTAGCCTCAAAACCATGTAATAAATTCTTTTATTCACAACAGCCCGTGCAAATGCAAGAGATCTGTGAGTATAGAAGAAGACAATGGAACTAGTTTGAAATCTCACCAGTTTTATCTACATTTCTGAATATTTTTCACACAATTGAGGCTAACACAGCGTAAAAGAGATCACGAAACTCGACTATTGCATTGAGAGTATCTACCTCTTATTTATTTGTTGATTTGTTTTCGTAGTTATGGCGTGTAATGGGCTGGAAAGTTATCGTATGCTGCTCTGGTCTCTATACTGGTTTATATGTTATTGAGAGRTTACGGTGGACGAACAGCGCAAAAGAAAAAGCTTTCAAGAAACAGTTTGGATCGTACGCCACGGAGAAACTCCAGCTTGTGATCAGCTTTACCAGCCATAATTGCAGTCTCCAAGTACAACAGTGAGTTTGTAGTATTATGTCATTGATAGTCTATCATCATTCATCGTTATCATTCAATGTACACAGACGCCATTTTGTACAATTTTCAATTCAATTTTGAGCTGCAAAGCATGTTGGGAAATCTCGTTAATCATCTCACAATTCTACACCCCAATAGCTCACAAAAATTGTTGTTGTTGTTGTCGTCGTTGTTGTTGTTTTGTTGTTGTTTTTTCTTCAGAAACGTACAAAAAACAAAAACTTTCATTCAGTTTTGCACAAAAAACTTGCATTTCAGTTGTAAAGAAAAATTTATTCAATTCAAACATGCATAAAAAATCGCGAAGACAGCTTATACTCCATTTCTTTTCTGTAGAATAGTTCTGATTTACTTCGATCACCAGCGAAGTAAATTTCTAATAGCAAATGGCTCAAACTGTTTTTTCTTCTACTTCATTGTTTTAACTAATAATTTGTCGACCATAGTCGAGACGGATTTCCGTGTCTTTCATCAAGCTTGGAATGTCGTTCACTGGTCATTGTGAAGTMTTCTCTGCACTCCTGTCGRTGTCTTTCACAGTTTTCSACAACAAAACATCTAAAAAACTTAACTTGAATGAAATACCCTGTCGACCTTCAGACCTGAAGTTGCTCCACGCATGTAAAAACACCGTGTTTAACTGCATGTTCTCGACCTTTTAAGGATTTAAGGATTTAAAAATCCTTGTTGATATTTCACTTATCTAAAATATGAAAGTCTAATAGCCTTTTTCAGCTAATAATAATGAAATACCTTGTCGACCTTCAGACCTTACGTTGTTCTTCTCACTTAAAAACACTGATTTTCTGCATGTCGTCGACCTAAAGAGTGCTTATCGTTCACCTTGTTGATATTTTACTTATCTTAGATATGAATGTAAAATAGTTTAGTCTAGACTTCGTTACTTTACCATAACCTTGTGATAATTCATAAGCTTCCAAGAACGAAAAAAACATGTCGACCTGTAAACCTGAGGTTGTTCCTCTAGTATTCAAAAAACTAATATTCTGCATGTCATTTAGCTTGTCGATCCTTCACTTATCCAAGAAAAGAAAGTGAAAAATCCTTTCTTAGTCCTTGTGATAATTGCCTAGGCTGATAAGAACGAAAGAACTAGTCCAACAGACCTAAGGATCTTATTCAAATATGTCCTCGTCCTTAGCATCGTTCATCTTATCAACATTGGTCAATATTTCACATATCCAAGACCTGAAAGTGAAAAAAGCCTTTCTTAGTCCTTGTGATAATTCTCTAAGCTGACAAGAACGAAAGAACTAGTCGACCTGCAGATCTGAGTCCTCTTTTCAAATATGTCCTTGACCTAAGCGTGTTCGCCTTGTCAATATTTCACTTAGTAAAAAAAAACTTTCTTAGTCCTTGTGATAATTCTCTAAGCTTACAATGAACGAAAAAAACTTCTTATTCCAATATGTCCTCGATCTAAGCATTGTTGACCTCGTCAATATTTTTCTTATCCAAGATATGAAATTGGACTAGTTTAGTTCAGACTTCAATACCATACTTTAACCTATCTTATTCCTCTTGATAGACATATATGAGTTGTCCCGAGGAGTCTGATAAGCTGTTAAGGGTTTGTTTCTTGACATTCAAGTACCTGTGATAGTATTAGAAGAGATAAGGAATGTTAATTTATGGTTTACAGGCTTAGCTGTATGACCTGATGATTGGCTCAGTTTTTGAGTCTAAATCGAGCTGTTTTGAATTCAATTTGCTCTAGTCGCCTGTAAAAAGAGTTGAGCGACATTTATGGTTCTTGAAAACACTTGAAATGTTTCTCAAACGTGCAATCAGTAATTTTGATGAAGACCAAACTTATTCTTCATTTCCAAGTTACGTCACGGCGGCCATCTTGGAGGAACTTCCACAAACGATTTCTTAATAGTATCTATTGCTCATTCCTCCAAAATGGACGTCGGTCTTTTATCTTATGAATCTCATATGGTTGAAAACGATCAATTCTTATTTTTGAAGAATGAGCTTGTTGTATAAAGGCCGAATTAGACTGCACAACTTTTGCCTACAACCATCGCATGTAGCCTGCGTAAGTCATCCTTACAACATGGCTACAACTGTCGTAGGAATTTAATACAATTGCTTAATAGCCCCACGACAGTTGTAGTCATGTTGTAAAGATGACTTACGCAGGTTGCAAGCAATGATTGTAGGCAAAAGTTGTGCCGTCTAAATCGGCTTTAAGTTCTTTGAGATCCTTCAGATGTCAATGTATTATTATGTCATGGGAAATCTCACTAGCACTTAATGTTTTTTTTTTTAAGTATAGACGCGACCCCCCACGCCCTTTTTSCTTTGTCTATTACCAGTCTTTCATCCAGACTTGGCTTGTTGACTAGGTTTCTATCAACCAATRGGTGATTTCATCACATACCAGACGAATTCCTCACATATTAGTCGTCCATTGATCTTGGGATTAGATAAATATACTCTATTTCGTGCCTGTAGCCTTGATTTTAAACCTATTTTAGGATGTCTCGTTTAAGGCCCGTTTACACTTGCGATTTTTGCAGCGYSATTGTCACGCTACAATCGCTACTTTGTTCTCGTGCACCTCAAATCGTACGTGTAAACAGCCCTGCGATTGCAGCTAAATTTCAAGCATGTTCGAAACTCAGGCGATGGTCGCGAGTTTTGAAAAGATCTCATCTCACGATTGTCATTTAATTACATATGAAAGAACATTATGTCGTAAAATAGCTTTTTTCTTAATTCCAGTATATAGAGAAACCTCGAATGTGTTATTTTCAYTTGTAAGCATACTGTGGTTTCCAGTCCCTTTCCGTTTGGAGTCWTTTTCAAATCACGCCCTTCTAACTGTTTAATTACAGTACATGMTAATACTCTGTGGTTCGAAGTGTAATTGATTCTCAGATTCGGTTGTGAATGATAGTAGTCAGCGAGTTGGGTGTGGTTTCTGGTCATTTTAATGCCAAGCTTTCCGCAATACTCCATACTCGAGATCTTATTTGTACAGCCTTAACCTCGAAAGCATTTAACACTGTAAAAAATCGCGCGCTTTAAAGGTTGTAAATTTGATGTAAATATGATGTAAGTGTCCAAAATTCTGTAAATTTGATGTAAATGATTTCCATTAAATTTACAAAMATTTTGGACACTTACATCGTATTTACATCAAATTTACAACCTTTAAAGCGCGCGATTTTTTCCAGTGTAATATATCCTTTTATTACATAATTATCTATGAATAGTGTAAGTAAGAAAAAAAGGTATTTTACGACATAATTTGCTTTCATATTTAATTATATGATAAACAGAATATTACATGGTCGCTTGGAGATACGAATTTTATCTTCTCGTGTTGAAAAAATCTCTCACGAGTGAGCGTAGCGAAGATAAAATTCGCATCTCTGCGCGCCCATGTAATATCCTTTATATATTCAGCAGAGATCCTATTGTAATGCAAAAACTCTGTGTACAAAGAAGAAATAAAAATTATGGTTGATTGAAGCTAAGCTTACAAAAAAGAAAATTCGAAACTATAGTATAGCATGGTTAATTGTCTAAGGGAGATAATAATAATAATGAATAATAGATAGGAGAAAAAGGAGAAAAATTGTATGTGTAGGAACGAAAACTGTCTTACAGAGTCGAATCACATGTTGTCCATCTGGAAATCGACCAGAACCGCACGCGCTTGTCCCCTCTCCCTGTCTGCCAATGCTTTTGACTTGCGTTCTCGTTCGTCTGTCTGTGTTCATAAATGAGATCGTTTTATCATCAGGGAGTTGTCATCAACCTTTGCAAGACTACAGTCTTTGGTTGAACGATCGAAAGAAGACCTTGAAGAAGAGATCCTTGAATTAGACAGTGAAATAAAACGACTCGAGACCATCGAAGATAAAGCACGAGTATTCAGGTCAGTACCATCATCATCATCATCGTCATCATCATCATCGTCATCATCATCATTGTCATCATCATCATCATCATCATCGTCATCATCATCATTGTCATCATCATCGTCATCATCATCATCTTCATCATCATCTTCATCATCATTGTCATCATCATCGTCATCATCATCGTCTTCATCATCATCATCATCGTCATCATCATCATTTTCATTATAATCATTATTATAATCACCATCCTTATCATCATCATTATCTTTATCGTTATTATTATTATTGCTATTATTATTATCATTATTATCATCTTCATTATCATCATCASCGCCAWACTASATAYATCTATAAAYCTTTGTTTGATCCACAGAAATAAAGGATGYTGGTTTGAGAGCGAACTGGAAGACTTCTTAAAAGCGTTCGGTCTAACGAGAAGCAAAATCTAACGGATGAATCGTAGGTGAAGTTTTTCTAGTTCGTCCGTATATGCGCTCTTTGAGCGTCTTTGTGTGGAACTAAACAATACACAGGGAGCCCAAGTAAAGAACTGCAAAATGAATGGGCTTCTTGTGATCTTAATGTGAAGAAATATGGAGACTTTTGTGTTTCGACGAAACATTTGAACGAACTGTGTGCGCTCCTTGAACGCATTTGACTATTTTAACGAAAAGCAAAATCCAATCGACGAGTAGTGAAGTATATAGAGAGATTTTAGTTGGTTCGTTTATGCGCTCTTTGAGCGCCTTTGATTAAAATCTATGAGTAAAGCAACACACAGGAAGCCCAAATAAACAAATGTAAAATTAGTGGGATTCCCGTGAACTGAAATACATCAAGAAATAAAACGCTTTTAAACCATCGGYTTACAATCATAAAATTAAATAAATGGTGGTGATGATGAAAAAAAGATTACAGATGAAATTGAACTTATTACTCATATCACTGTCATTTTTTGAATGATCTCAGAAGGAATTATAGGATGTGCAGGACACACATTTCTATGTGTGAGTTGTATTAATAAGCTCTCTTCTCTGAGACTTTTTAGCAATGCAGAGTCACTACTAGTAAGAAAACTTAACTTGTCGCGCAAGATTGTCAGTTTAGCATCAGTGTTTCTCGTTATCATGGGCTTTTTATTGACTATTCGTAAGGCTGATTTACACAGCACGATTGTCTCGTGCGAYTTGTAGTATACGACTTGAATCTCGCAGTGTAAATGCCCCTACGACTTGTCTACAACAGTCGTACGCAGCCTACGACTTGTAGTAGGATTTTGAACCACTGCTTAAAATCCTACGACTTGTAGTAGGAAAATCGTATACTACAAGTCGCGCGCGACAAATCGTACCGTGTAAATCAGCCTTTAAAATTCCAGTACAGCCTCGCTCCTAGGATAGAAAACAATAGAATAAACAATCAATTCTCACATGGATTCGAGGCTAAGACTGCTTGTGTTCTGAACTCTTAATAATAGTCAATTGTTGTGCGATAAATTTCCAGTGCTGAGTGAAGAAGCATCGACAACAAACCTGAACAAAARCAATGTTAAAATATGCGCGACACGTTGAGAAATTGTGTTTCTCGTATCTCTTTATTCAAATTGTGAAAGCAAAAGTACTTTTATGGGCAAACCTTTACATTTTTAAAAGGAAGTAGCTTAAGCATTGTGTTTTCTAACTTTTCCGGCGTAGTGTTCGTCTAGACAAGCTTTAGGTTTGAGGTTTTCGTGTTTTCAATAGTTTATAAACCACTCAATTCGAAAGAAAATCTTGATAAAATCATCGAAAAAATTTTTTTTGTTCATTGCTTAAATTTCCTGGTCCGAAATCTGAATAAACTTAACAATACTAATAAACACTGCATTCCACCAATTTTAAGGCATTAAAAAAGCTTAAAGTTTAATATTTATATGTTTCTATTTGCTATTTAGTCTATAAATGCCCCGGTAAATTACCTCTCGACACTGAGCTCAAGTATCAATGCAGGCAGGAATAGCGCTCGTTCCTAGAATTAAATAATCAGACATTTTACAATGGAATTTTGAGAAAAGTCAGTAGAAAACAAAGRAGGATTTCATTATAAATAGCAAATCTTTTAAGCTKTTTAAAGTTTCAGCGCAAACCCCAAATGCTATGATATCCGTTTCTSCGAGCAAATTAGGTAATTAGCGTTTTACAATCGACCAACGCCCATATAATATCAAAGGGCTTGTTCGACCTTGGCATCAGGCGTTACCAATTCTCTATAACATAAGATAACAAACCATTTCCGCCTATCGCTATAATTGACTGMCAATGATTTGTAAATGAGGATCTTGACTCGTGTAACCGCGCCGGAAGCAGGTGATACCAATCGTGCCATGTGAATCTTTATGGATTGATGGGGTTCCTGTGGAATACATTCGTAACACTTCATTTTCCTGCGTAAAATCAGTTGTTTTGCGTTTACGTAAYGCTTCCACGTATAAGCTAGAACGTGATATATATTTGCACAACTATTGGCGTGGTAAGTTGAGAAAAATTAAATGATTTAAAAATCAAGAAAAGGTTTAGTTCGACAGTTCGTTATGACCGGCAACGTTTATATAATTTAGTAATTAGTGTTCACTCTTTTACTGAAAGCACTCTTCAGAGCAAAAATGGCTGTTTTAGCGYTGAAGGTTGAAGACGTGCCTTTCAAATGACCCACGATTAACTCCTATACTTAGGTTAACATAATTAAATTAATTCAACATCTTGAAAATTGCCGACTACAGGAAAAAGTCACTACACTTTCAATTTGCGTCAAATTGTTTTGATAAACAGGTCGAAATCACTGTATCATATTCAKATTATGTAYAGATCAACTTRAARCGCAGTTTTTGCCAAAATTGAAACSTTAAAAGGCTGTTTATCGCCATATTAATCACGTTCCTCTAAACTTACAGGAATGCTAGTGCAATCTTGCTGGTAAAGAAACTGAAACGCGCCGGTTACAATTTCTAAAGCGTGAATTCAGCGTGTCGCAGCTCTGTAAACTCAATGAACTCGTTTTCAAAAGTATCAAGTTGTTTCATATGTATATTGAGCATTGCAGCYGTGAAAACAAGTCCATTAACCATATAAATACAAAGAAAATGTCGAATAAATAAAATTACATCAGTTGCTCAAAAAGCAAATTGTTTAAACTCCTACATGCCTCATTAATAATGGTGAACTGCTTCACTTAATTGTCTTGTAAATCACGAAAACAAGAAATAAATGAGTCAACTTAATGTGGGAAATGATGATTGAAGTGTTTTACCCGGTGGTTTGCGCTGCTCAAACCAGAATATCAACTAAAAAAAACACATACACATTGACATTAATATATCGGTKAAGGCACTTCGCCATTGCCCAACGCCTACAAACCAGCATTCTTCATAGCCTTCAGTTAACTAATAATCCTATATTTTGTTTAAAAATTTTCAGTTTTCCATTATTGAATTAGAATTTTATTACTGGCATCCCAGGAATATAATATGAAAGTCCAATAAATCTAACGGGAGAGATTAGATGCCAGACTTGTTATGATCAGTTCACGTGCAATGATGGTATTCAAGCTCCGCCACAGCGAGACGTTTCGTTTCGTAATGATTATCTACTGGCGCGGACATTAACACTTGAGAAAAGTTGATTAGAACACTCGAACTATAAAACCACAACAATTAGGAGCGTTTATGACGTATTTTCCTTAATATTTTGATTGAAGTAACATCGTGAAGAGACTCACTTCAAGTAAAAATGCAACTCCATTTATGGMATTCAAACATGGCTGAACATCTCGTATCTTCTTTTCGCTTATCGCTTTTACTTCATCGCAGCTAAACTCACACGCAAAACAGTCTTTATCTTAAGTGCTCGACTGTTAATTAAAAAAATGTCGATCAGAAAGGGTTAGTTCGCWGAAGAGTAGATTATAATCTTTTCTGGTGATCCTACAGTACTTGCAGGCTCATATTCTCTATGATAATGACTTGTTCTGAGACATTGTCCTAAGTAATTAACTAAATACGAGCTTTAAATGATCGATTTTGAAAGCAATTAAGTGCAGAAGTGCTTGTTCTTAAACACGAGTCGAGCTTATGTGATATTTCACGAGGAAAAGCAGAGTTTTAGATACTTTTAATGACATTTTCAGAAAGCCTGAAATTCAAGGTTGGCCATCATCTTTGACATTTAAAACTTCAAAAGTATTTCTCGCTCTCATAATGAAAAGATTGTTGATCTGATATATACTGCATTATGTTAAAGAAATGTCATCAAGCACTGTCTATAGAAAAAACTCGTTTAAGTCTATTATTAGATCGTGCTTAAGCCATGTTTCATTAGCAACCAATGCAGGAACTCTTTTACTGATAAATGTGATTGAAAAACGGTTTAAAATCTGCTGAATTTGCTGAAGTATTTCAAAACCAGGAGCTTCGTCACAATTTACATCATGCTAAATAACTGAATAAATTTTGCACATGTCTTTGAACTAAACTAAAGTTTCCGATTGCCATTTTGATTCAAAAAATACACTTTTGAAGTAAAACACTGTTCTTTAACTAGCACAACTGAGGAAATAACTTCAAAAATCTAACATATTTAAACGATTTCAAGCCACCCAGTRCAATTCTTATCTCAAAACTCCTTTCACAAAACGGTTAAACTATTTAAAACATTCACAAATTGAGGCTGTTTTCAAGACTAATATTTTGAATTCATTTTAGCAGAGACTGTGTGGGATAATTTACGGCAAAACCAAACCGCAGACCCTCAGCGGATTTCAAATTTTAAAACCTTTAAGGAAGAAAGATTTTATCTTATACGAGCACGCGACATTGCTCGCATGGACCAACGCAGAGTTTTCGACTGCGATACCCACAACTAAATGTTTATTTTCCACGTTTAAGCTTCTCTCATCGTAGCTTTTAGAACTTGAATTGGGCCCAAAATAAACTGGCCGCGTTCCAGATAAATGAGTCATAATCCGTAGATATTTTTAACCAAGTTTAAGCTTCTGTTCCATCAACTTAAAATCATGTTGGGAATCTCATTACTAAACGAACTTTCTAGTGATTCTGAAACGAGTATAAGGTCACGAGAAACGTTAACTTTTTCGCCCAGAATTTGTGGAAGAAGTCCCCTCGACTAACCCTGTTTAGAGCTAATGTTTTCAGAGTAGAATGAAAAGAAAAAGGAAAAAGCAATTTGTGTGCTATAAATAAGCTGATATGCAATCATAAAATAGCAGTATTTGACTCTAATAAGCTACTAGTTTATAACCATTGAAGTGTTTATGACCACAAATGCTAATAAGGTGTTATTTAAGCACGAGTATTACACACTATAAAGTGTTATAATCCCCAAGGGGTCCACTACAAGTTGTGCATAGGACGTGCCTGTGTTGCTATCTCTCCGAATGAAACACCTTGTCTTCTTTGGAATACGATCAAATTTTAAACATCTACAAATATTTTTCTACGTAGGGGAGGTTTATCCCCTCCCGATGACGTCATCTCACGCCCAGACCTCTAGCGCAGTTTCGTGTATAGGAATATGGACTCCTCGGGCTCTATGTATAGACAACGAGGTAGGTATTTTAGCCAGACAATTTACTAAAGAGTAGAATTTCAATTATGAAATATTTGAGGTGATACTCTGGCCTTAGTGAAAAGGGAAGTCTGATAGTCTAGAGAGATATGTGTCTTAATAACATGTAATACGATACACCCCCCTCTTGTGTCAGACTTGATAACATCAGTGGGCTATAAATAACAGGAGCCAATATCTCCCAACTAAACAGCTAGAACAGCTTACATACCTTGAGAGAGCGAGGAACTTTGATTTCAACAGATAGTATCAAGCTTCTAAGAACGAAGACACTCTTAATTAACTGGATAAGAATCGTACAAGTACTTTGGAAATAACGCAATGGACTTTTATTTGGCTTTTGGTTTTACTCTCGTCTGCCTTGGTTGTTCTTGGAGCGATGCTAGGAGCATCAAAGCGAAGGTAAGCTCTTCACTATTTTTTTAAAAGGCATTATGTCCCAGCTAGCATGCTAAGTTTTTATGTCGTTCAAGAATTTTCTCAGTCTTGTTTTAATTATTTCAGTTTTGAACACTTGCTTTCATTTTTTATTTTTTATTTCKAAGTGCGCGCAAACTTACAAATATTGACATTTTGTAGCACCATTTTGTAACACTTTGCGCATAATTCATATATTCTCCTCGAGTTAAACCTATAAAATCCAAACAAATGAAATAACATTTTGAACTTTAAGAATTTTCTCGTAGTATTTTCTCAATCTTGAGTTTCTACTGGTTTTGATAAACTTGGTCGTYAAAATATTTACTCCGACGAAAGATTAACGTTCGGAACGTCAGTAAGTTGTTTCACCTACTTTTTTACGGTTTTAAATTTATCTTTTTACATAACTGTTTCTTTAGAAACACCGACGCAGCTCACGCTAGTTTACCGCTAGTTTTCACCATCAACATTAAGTGTAAGACGCCCGCGAATGAATAATCCATCCCTATATTCCCGGCAGTTTCATGTGGCAATACATATTTCTAAAATCAAGATGCTAAGACCGAAAAGCGTGAACAATTTCCGTTGATCCTATAATCGACTTTGAATAGCATTCTAGATTTGTTTAAAGAGAAAACAAATTAGAAAAATATGTGTTTACAAGGTGCATCGCACGCACAGATATTTTGAATACGAACCGCGTTACGAGAAGTGAAGACAAGTAAGGTTAAGTTGTCGTGTGTGACATTACTGTAGTTAGCTTTATAGTCCCGCAGATATCATACAGATACAAAACCGCAGAGCAAGATGTGGAATATTAGTGTATTTTACGTACATTAAACTGATTTATAATCTTTTGCGTAACGTTAAGCTGTCGTGTGTGACATTTCGCAAGTTAACGTAGTCCCGCAGAGCCTAAAGGGATCAAAACCGCAAAGTTAGAGTATTCGACGTAATCGTAAGCTTGCGTAGGTAAGACTAAGTTGTCACGTGTGACATAACACAAGTTAACTGTAGTCCCGCAGAGCCTTCTGTGAATATTGCATAACTTAAAAAATATTGTGGATCTGAAAAATATTTTCTCCATGATCAAACGTTCTTGACAAAGTCTAAGTGTTCTTTTGAAAACATTTGAAACGAAACATATGATCAAGTGTTCGACATCGTCATTATATGATCTCTTGCCGCGCACAATGATCAAACGTTCTAAAAGAAGGCAACAATGTTCGAAAAAAATATTTGATCAAGTGTTCTTTCTTAACACTTGGAATGGCACTTCAATATGATCGAACGTTCGAAACTACATCTCTTAGCATTGATCAAGGGTTTTTATCTGAAAACTTGGAGTGAAACTAGCAATGTGATCAAGTGTTCCTCCAACATACGAGTTATTGCTTCTATTTATGGATCGATCCTAGAATGCCAATATTACTGACGCCTCATTGGTCGTGCTGTTTTCACTAAACCGATCAGATTATCACATCTTACACACGTACTTAACCATGGCTGCTCTGTCTTGAAAGCTAATTCAGTACTCTTAATTAAGTGATGGAGGATGTTAGCCAGACCTCTTTAGAACGACCACTGTATTTTGCACGTAGTTAAATTTAAATGAACCTCTTTATAACGGCCACTACATCACAGACACCTCTATATCACGTCTCTATATTACAGAAACCTCTATATTTTAGACGTGTCTATATTCTGGAAACCTCCGTATTACGGACACCTCTATTTTACAGACACCTCTATATTACGGACACCTCTATTTTACAGACACTTATATTAAGAACACATTACAGACACCTCCGTATTACGGACCCCTCTATATTACGAACGCGCACTATAGTTCAGCTCATTCGATTTACTGAGATTTCCAACATCAATCGTTTATGAAAAGAAATATTTGCACAGCTGGTGTAAATCAACTAAACAAGAGCCAAAAATAACCAATTTTCTCAGATTCAAGAGRTTAAGCGAGTCGTTTTAGTTCAAGGTTGGTCCCCATCTGTACAAGGAACTCATATCAAACTGGCAGATTGCCTCAGATACAAWCACAAGGTCAMAAGTTGTTCCTTGATGCTGGCTAGTAGTAAATAGTCATGATAGTGCATGCTATGTTTCTCTAGCAAAAACTTTATTAAACTCAAAAAACTAAAACACTAAGCTTTCGGACGATCGTCCATTATCAGAGTAAACTATATAAAAGGCATTATTCCAGCAATATAAATAATAATAATAATAATAATGAATTTTAACCCATCAAAAGATAAAAATTTACAAGACAATAGATATGATAAAATATGTACAAAAGATCTAAAATACGACAAATACAAGCGTGAAACTACACAATACAATGATGAACTAACTAAAATATATATATATTGTATTGGTGATAGTGAACTAAGAATATAATACATTAGTAATAATGAACTAACTAAGAATATAGTACTATCATAATGAAGCTACCTAGCAACATAAACGTCTTAGTAAATAGTTGTAGATACATGTTTTGCTGTTGTTGCCTTTAGATTTCATGAGCGTAGGCGGTTTTGGCTTAGGTTTTCGCGCGACGTGGGCGTTACGCAGCTTTCATCAATGACGAGAATCATTACCAACATCATTATCATCATCATTTATCATCATCTTATTACCAAGGTGGAAATTGCGCACGTAAAAGCTGCGTTAAGCTACGGTTTACGGGATCGTTACGTCTTGATCAATCATCTTAGTTTACGTCTTACGCACGTAAGTAAGAAAAAACGTAAAACCGCTTACGTAATTGCAGAGCCTAAAGAGATCAAAAATCGTAAGCTTACATAAGACTAAGTTGTCACGTGTGACATAAGTTAACGTAGTCCCGCAGAGCCTTCTGTAAATATTGCATAACTTAAAAAAAGCATTTTCTTCATGATCTAACGTTCTTGACAAAGTGTTCTTTTGTAACATTTGAAACGAAACGTACAGAGATAGATGATCGCACGTAACCGCTGCGTAAAGCCACCTTTTACGTAATTGTTGCGACTTGTAACCAATCGTCTTAGTGAGACCTTCCGTACATAAGAACTGCGTTACTATTCGTTTTACGCAATCGTTACGTCTTGACCAGTCACCATAGTTTATTCATTGCGCACGTAAACGGCTGCGTCACACTACGTTTCACGGTATGTCTTTTATCCCCCAATTATTATTTTCCGTATTGCAGTGTCAGATTACCAACCTTCTTCCAAGGTCATTTTTAGCAATAAAAATAGCATCCAAAACACCGAGACGTCCCGTAGACACGAGATCGTTTACGTAACGTACCCGTACAGTCAACAAATTATGCCTACGGCAAKAACAGCGACGCAATGGGCGTTACGTTATTTATAGTACGTAAGTCAAGGGCATAAAACCATAGCGTAGCGCCCCAGCTGCGTAACACTGTGTACCTCACGCTGTGTGACAGTGGCGGCGAATTTTACGTGCGAATTTTACTTRCGGCGAATGTACGAGAATTAGGTGTTTCAAATTTCCCCCTAGAATCGGAAAAGCAAATAAAATCGAGAAATTTTTGATAATAATGAATGTTTTTTAAGTCAAAGAAATGCAAGTGTAGCGTTGCGCGAGCTGCGTGACAGTGCGCGTTTCACGCTGTGCGACAGAGGCGGCGAATATTACACTGAGGTACAAGATTTAATTAATTCTAATTTTCCCTCGGAATTTGAAGAGCGAGGAAAATCGGGAGATTTTGGGGAATGATTTGCGGTTTTTAAGGCTGGGTTGCACATTATTTACACGTGCAGTTTGATATTGAATCCTTACGGGACGTTTTCGAAACAGTATTAACAACACGGGATCATGATGGTAACGATGATAATGATGATAATGATGATGATGATGATAATGATGATAAGTCGATCATTAGATTTAAGATTTTTTTACAATTTTGTTATGATATCATCACTATTAGAATAGAAGTAATACTGTTGTAATAATAACAATAACCAATAACGATATTAAAAAAATAATAATTTAACATTTTATACGAGAGAGATTTTTCAAGTACAATTAGTAACCTCATGTTTACAAATAGTATCCTACACGCCGTTCCCAGCGCCATCTTGAAAGGTAGCCGTGGCTTTACATCGAAGCGAGACAACCGTTGAGCGTGCAATGATAGATAACTGTGAATAATTGTCTGTAGGTGTTAAAGAAGGTTTCTATCATTGCACGCTCAACGGTCGTCTCACGTCGATGACATAGCATGGCTACCTTTCAATCGAGAATGGAACTGTGAAGAAGACTATTGTTTTCGTTGTTCATCTCATCGTTCTAGTATATTGACCTATGGGCAATCCTGGGGGTCTGATCCAAACCACCCACGTGATATCTCGCCGCGATTTGCCGACATGTTGTTCTAGTTTGACTGATGTCTTTTTAAGTTCAAATACCGTATAACTTGACATGAAAATWGACACCATGTAACAATTGACACAAAGCGCACTGCACAAGCTGTAATGGGGAAATGTGTAAGGTCGTCACTTTGTGCTGCAAAGTGAGTTGTAGTCCTCATAGCCGTTAAAACAGTCTTCCTAAGCTCTTTTTGCTTTTTCTTTGCAAAAAAGTATTCGTGCTGTTTTTTATAAAGAAAATATGACTTTTAGGGAGATTTTGCAACGGCTATAAAAATTGCGAGGAAAAACTGCAACAACCATCATGCTTYGTTATAAATGGCGTCGCTCGTCTGCGCTACACATTCCGACTAGATACTTATGTGATAAACGTTATGTAGTATAGTCAACTCTCTCGTAATCGACCACCTCGGGATCAGGAAAACGTGGTCGCTTACGAGAGATGGTCGCTTACAAGAAAGTTTTTTTACAGAGTTTATATGGGAAACTGAACAAAACGGGAAATTTAAAAGGTGGTCGCTTAAGGGAGATGGTCGCTTACTAGAGTAGTCGTTCAAAGAGAGTTAACTATAGTAATATTCTTTACAATAGATCCAGCACGAAGCCGATCCAAGACAGGGTTATTTATGGGAAGATGCTTGTCCACCAATGCCCATCACTGACGATGCGATCGCGAGGGACAGGAACTGTACCGACACATGCAATACTGATGATTACTGCACGGGAAGACAGTTATGCTGCTTGTTTGACGGATGTAGAACTTGTATGGAGCCAGTCCTTCCCCCTGCAGGTATGACATATAGACAATTGATGGACAGACAGACAGACGAATGCATTGATGGACAGACAGACAGACAGACGAATACATTGATGGATGGACGGACAGACAGATGAATGGATGTATAGACGAATAGACAGAACGTAGGATTGACTGACAGATACAAACTGACAGAAAGACAGACAAACAGCGTACGAATCCATCCATGGATTGAAAAGCAACCTGATAATGAGTGGATTGATTGATTGATTGATGAACAAAAAATGGACGAAACGACATAAATGAGTGAAAATGTGGATAGATGGATGGTTGGATGGTTGGATGGTTGGATGGATCGATGGATCGATGGATTAGAAGAGAGATGGATTTGTGGGATGGTATATATACAATTTAAAATTTAAAATGTTGAAATATTATTGAATAGATGAATATTAATCGATATTCAAAATTTCAATTATTCAAAATATCAAATGTGAATAAGAGATCAAAATTCTGATGAATGCTGCCTCTTTTTAGTGATTGATTGGTTGGGAAGTWCAAACCGAGGATACACCAACCCAATCGACGAAGGCGAACAGGAAAACACTATCATTCTAACCGAACCTCACTACGAGGAAGTAGGTGAGTATCATAACTAAATAAAAACATAATAAAAACAAGCAAAGAAAAATACATACTAAACTATTTCCTAGAAAGATCTTTAGATATAATCTAGTATTTTAGGTATAATCTAGTATGCAAACATCACGACGCAAGCTTGTGTAAGATATCCGCCATCTTGATGATGTCATCAATACCATGATGCACTTCGCCAAATGAAGMWTGACGTCATGCGAGAAAAGRCAATTCTTAATTATTCTTTTTTTATTGTTTAGAATGTGTACTGGATGGCAAGACCTACACAAAAGGAGTGTTCTACCAGGGCTGTAGAAAATGGTAAGTATACAATGTATAAATGCAGTTCTTTGATATTTCCTTTGCTGAAACCTCGTAAGATTTCCAAAACGTCTTTCACACAYCAACACGCCATTATTCTGCAGATTCTATCAATTAACTAGTTTCGTTTACTCTGGTAAACCTTTTCATTTGACTTACAAATTACATGCAATAACTATTGAAATGATTATGAAACTTCACAACAACAACAAGATTTAAAGCTTAGCAGTACCTGTAGTAAAGATGTGTGTATTTTGTATCTTATAGCTTGTGTAATGTTGGAGGATTTATCACTTGTGAGCTACAGTGCAAAGGAGGTGAGCGAACGCTTCACGTTTTTCTTTTCCTACCCTCCCTTCTCTTCCCTTCTTTTCACTTCCCTCATTTCTGTTCTCCTCACATTAAGCTTTAGACTCTTTTTGATGTGTATCTCTCCGTTTCTCATTTTTGCACCCTTCTTTTTTTCCCCTTTTTTTCCTTTCTTTCTGTTCTCTTCTGTTCCTATTTTGCAATTTTCTTTCTTTCTACTTTACTAGAATACTATAGTTCAACTTTAAAGTMCAATTTTCTCTTTTTGTTTCAGATAAAAAGAAAATACCAACCGACGAAGAAGTTTCGGGGTCTGGGGAGGAGGATGACACCTCATCAGGCAATCCACCAATGAAACCTGAGCATCTAAATCAAATATTTCCAGTCAGTTACAGTGAGGACATCAAAARGTTTATTCGTCCTGATCCAGTCCACCTTGCATTGGATCAGCCTCAATCAGAYATTGTTACACTTCCGGAGAATAGTGGAGAAAGCGAAAGTGGAGACGATGAGAAAGGAACTCATGGAAGCGGCGATAGCAACATTGAAMTAATGAAACAAAAACATTCAATAAATCATCATRAAATATCCACASTTCATGAGGTAGTCGACCAAGTGCCAAAAGTTGAAGACATCTTTTTGGTTCGATAAGTWRGGCAGTAAAAAACGATAAAATAGCGATGAAAACACAGAAAGGACCTTAGYCAAAACTATAAAGGGWTCTCCATCAAAAGGACAAAAGGGATCTCCATCAGCAACATAGAATGGTTATCTATCAAGATACAGAAACTCTTCATTAAAAAAAAACATTTTAGAACAATTGTACTAAATGCAATTAAAAAGACATTTGMATGGATTATAACCCAAGAAATATGAATCGCAGAGATCAGTAACGCCACCGAAAGTGACATGGRCTGMAAAATATGACATTTCTGATCAAGGCAGCAAGACATAAACATCGAAACGTACAATGATATATAAATACGCTAAAAGAAATAATAAGAAAGTTATCAGTTGTGTGCAACGTGAAACTAACAATGCTATGACGTATAGCGCACATGTAGCTCGTGTCGAGCCAAAAATGACGTCATTGACAGGAAAACACGTCACGAAYACAGKATGGCGTCACTATACTTAATKACGTCATTTTACTTAAACACGTCATTTCCAAAAAATGACACTTTTTTATTTATAATGGATAACAGCATGGTGTAAAATAAATTACAATACAAGATACAATAATAAACATTTTATT